ATTCCATTAAAAGTAAAAGCTTTTTTTATTTCATTTTGTCTTTTTGGTTCAACTGTTAATGTCCATCCTCTAAGTGACCAAGCATTTACCAGGTTCACTAACTTTCTGTAGAAGACAGTATATCATGGTTCCATTGCTCCAAAGTCAGTCTACTATTTTTTCTATTTTTCTATTTATTTACTTAAAGAAGTGAGCAGATCTTTGTTGTCCAGACTGGCCATCTTCTAATATAGTACACATATCAGAATGAGTCAAAGCTTTCAGGTGCCAGGACAAATGTTGTATATTGGATATAAGTCTACAGTGTGCCTCAAATTGAAGCATATTAGAACTTTTAATGTTCAGATTAGATAGAAACTGAGGAGTGCATGATGGTCTATATGACAAAGCTGAGTTTTAATCCATTTTTCTGTGGATAACTGTCTACATTGTGGAAATTTTTGTCAGATCATTAACTTGCACCAGGTGTTGACAGTTTGGCTAGTTTGATAGAAAGGCAGAGCTGGAACTATTATATCCCTCCTAGAGATTTCAGATCACTGATAACAAGGGAATAGTAACATATCTATTCAACATTATTAACTCAAGTGTAAAACTATGAGTGCTTATCTTTAGCAGAATAGCTACCAATTAAATTCATCTTTGCAAAGACTGTGGATCAGATTCTCTAGGTTCGTGTCCTTAAAAAAATTATTGAATTTTATCTGAGATATCCATTGCTATAAATAAATCCTCAGCTGTATACTGTTGAGAGGCAGGCAGTAGTTTGAAGTCTTTCAATCAGTGGTGTTAAAGCAGCTTGTAAACTACTCATAGGTGGGGAATGCAGTCTGTGATGGGGTATTTTATGTACCTTCTCTGTGCTTTCCTTCCAGTTGCAGAGACTAAGAGAAGTATCTGTGTAAATAATATGGATTTTGTTTTATGCAATTCTGACAAAAGAAGTAGCAATGAACAGAAGGTATTTGAAAATAAATCAAGAGGAGGTGAGGTGTATTTTACTTATGTGTTCTTTTGCCTTTTGAAAGAATAAAAGTATTTATTTTAAAAATAAACTAAGAATCTTGGGGAAAAAACTCAGGCTTTTGGAGCGACAAATGGAGCTAGTAGCCACATAGTATCTATCAGTATTTTTCATCCATATTTTCTACAGAATTATCTCAGTGTACTTGTATGTGAAACAAACATACTAACAGTACAGTAGCTTCATTAAAGTTTTTATAGCCTATAGAAATTTTATATTTGAATTTATTCTAGGAATGGAATATCATAATGAGACAAAACTTAGGGTCTCACCCACTGTAAAATTCATAATGGTTTTATGGTGTGAACTGGAAATAAGGAGCAAGAACCAGAGATTAAATTTTGAAATACTGAAAAATGTTCTACACTTCTGAATACAATTAACAATTTATTGTTATTTACAATGCATACCACATGTTTTGCACAAGACTAGAATTTTTCTCAGAAGAAATAATTAAACATTCCACATGAAATCTTTTCCCTCTAAATATTTTCTTATTACTAAAAACTTTCCTTCTGACTCCATTTTCTCATCTGTTCCTGGTAAAGCAATTCATTCATGTATAAAGTTTCCTATGCCCTGCCTTAATGGCTTTACTACTAATACACAAGTGTATTGTCATATACTTGTATGTGTGGAGATAGGATCTAGTGGCATATTTATTAGCTGGGTTTCAGAGTCCTGTTAGAAAGAAGGATTTTTATGTATTTTGGTAGAAAGAGGCATTAATAGTCACAAATTAGTATGCTGATCAGTAGTTATATTTGGATGGAAGGTGCAACCTGACATCTGATAGGGTCTTAATTAAATCTTGGGAGCACTATATGTCTCATGAATTCATTCCATGAACTGAAATAAATTACATATAAATGCAATACAATACATACATAATAGACAAAACAGTTGTACTAGAACTGATGGAATAGATCTTAAGTTAGATGCATGTGTGTTTTGTTTGTGATCCATCAGCTGACAGGAATGATAGGTAAACCTTTAGCTTATTTATACCTGATTCCTGGAGGAAGGTAACAAAGCTAGAGGTATTTCAGGCAAAAGGGGTTTTCTTATACATACAAATGTTGAAGCTAGGATCACAGAAGGCAGGGGCATTCCATCCAGGCTACTCCAGAACCATCAGTCTTGAAAGAAAGTTTTTTTGAAAACTGGCTGTGTGACAATAATGCCCCAAAAGTTAAGTTTTTGGGGTCTGGGCAGATTGCTCAAAAGCCAGGTAAAGGCCTGAAATGTTTGTCTCTCAGGTTGCTGTGGTAGGAACTCCAAGTTTTGTCCTGAGTGGGAACCAGCCCCAGCAGGTTCAACGCTGTGTCTAGCAGCTGGCACACCTACCCAGAACCCTGGCTCCACCGCTGTACAGCTCACTTCAGAGCATTCGTGAAGACTTGAAAACATGGGAATAGTCCAGTACCTCTGACTGCAGGGTTGACATCCCAGCAGGTCTGTCTAGAATCCATCAGTTTTGAGAACTGCAAAGCTTAGAGATAATGAGTCAGTCAGTGCAGCTGCAGGGTCTTGAAAACTTATTTTCTATGGAAACACTGTTTTTGAGAATGTCTTGCTGTCAACTCAAAATTTGTCCAAACCACTCTAGAACAGTCATATTTCCTGGGAACTGGAAACTGCTTTTTGACTAGTTCCCCTTATAGCTATAACCATGATTTTTTTCCTGCTGTCCTCCTCCACTTTTCCAGCTCAGCATGTAATTTTTTTTCCAAAACTGAACTCTCTTTAGAACAGAGCCCCTTTGACCGAGTATAGAGAGGAATAGTTCCAGGACACATAAAACCAGTAAGAGAGGAAAATACCTTTAAGTGACTCAACATGCCGAGAATAAAACCTTAAATCTCTTTATGGGGAACAGCATTTTTTTTTTTTCTTCTGGAGTAGGGGGTCAGAAGATGGGGGGAAAGCCATTCCCCTGCTCTGCTATAAACTTGATTCCATATGGGGCCTCTGGTTTAGGCAGCTGAAGTTTTTGCACACAGTCCTATGTTATAAGATCTATAACAGACACAGTATGTCTAAAGCCTGTGATAAACAGAAATCACCACTTGAGCAGGAGGGGCTTAGTACAATGCCTGTTGATAGAATTCTTCCCCCTTATGGTAAAGAGCTTTAGATCAGTCCTTAGGTAAGCACAACCACCAGCTTTAACGTTTTTAAGAATGTACCAGGTCAGTTATGAAGAAAAAAGGAGAATATGACTTGAAACATGGAATGCTTTCCAATTTGCTGAGTTACTTGCCAGCTTCTGAAATATCTCACTATTAATTGAATAAGAAGTATGCCTGAGCAAAGGAAGCTGTAAGCATTCAGAAAAAGAGTAAAGTCAAGACTTAGACAAGCTGCTTTGGAGTTACAAATGCATTTTCCCTATTAAAATGATGTAGCTGTCAGCATTTCGTGCTTTTCTTGCATAAGCACTACCAAATGGGGAGATGCAGAGATGCCCCATGTACCTTCAGATAAACTGTGCACATTTGGAAGTAATCAAAATGGAGAGAAGGTGGGGTTTCTGTTGGCATTTACTGATACAGTCTGGTTTGTATTAGGATGGAATTTCTGAGATTGGGAATGTATTACTCTAACAAACAGTGGTTGCTATAGGAAATATATGATCTGTATTATTGTACATGTACAAAAAAGGCATGCATACCGACAATTTCCTGGGATTTGAGGGTGTTGGGAGAAGGTAATGGACTCTAGGAGTCTTACACTTGTAATTTCATAGCTTGCATTTGTCGTCTTTACTCTTGTCATTGTAATAATTATGTATACTCCTCAGGAATCTGTGTGGGCTGTAATCTGTCACCAGTATACCATTTTGTATTTTCTATATTCAGTTCCATCTAGGACAAGACAATGGCTTGGAACAGCCAGAACAGTTTTCCCAAGAGCAAAATGCCTGACAAGTCTGGTAGCCTACTTACTAGGATGAAACAACTTGTTCCATGTAGGGGAGAGAAGTGGATGTATTTTATCTTAATTCTAACAAGGATATAAGGGGAAAAAAAATCTGCAAAGAGGCTGAATTAAAATTACTGGATATTTGAAGTATATGGTTTGTAGAAAATACTATGGGAAGTATCTGTAATATAAGTCTGTATTCCCTGTTAATGTCTGCAGTACAAATCAGTAGTGTAGACTTCCTCAGCCTTTACCTGGATGTCAGGTGGCAGAAGAGGCTGAATTGGGGGGGGGGGGGGGGAAGCAATACCATGCAGCTTCCATTTCTGTCCATGCCATGATTCCCCATAATTGTATAGGTGGCAGTTGCAACTTTCTTATAGATCAGACAACAATTACCATCCTGTTTCCCAAAGATCAGAAGATTTTTGGCTCCAGCATCAGGTACATCAAAGCCCTACTTTAAGTTCTCAAGGGCTTGTATTGCATGCCAAGTGCATTCACAAAGTTCTGTATGTATTTGATAGTATTGTCTCTTGAAGGAATGTGTGTCACTGAGCCAGTATATAGTAACTGCATACACAGAAATGCTCTATATTTTCCTAGCTCTGTGTATAGATAACAAGAGAAAAAAGGAAGAGAAAGCCAGATACAGAAGTATAAAGAAACAGAAAAGCCTAGACTCCTGATGCTACTGATACTGTACAGAAAAAAATGTTAGTATAGACAGAGCATTTGATGCTGAAAGTATACAGCATTTGAATTCTGATCATCTGTGCAGTTCTCAAAGTAGCAAGTGTATTTATGAGGTTTAGATTGGATTTACTGTCACAGACATTGTTTCATGGACATGTTCCATTCCTTCCCTACCACTGTGCTAAATCAGCTTGTTTTAAGAAGCCTTGAAATGGGGCTCAAAGAGTATCTAAGGCCATTTTTTTCCATGCTCCTTGCACCCAAAGGCAACTGAAGCTGTGACAAAAAGGTACAGGGTATGTGAAGTGGAGGTGGTGATGCTGAGCTTCCACTAACACCTGGTTATTAATTTCAGCTTTGGGGACTTCCAGAATGTTGGCAAACACAGCTCCAGCTGGTATGGGGACTGGTGCTTCTCCATGAGCAGGTAAATAGGCCAGATGGTCTCCTATTTTACTACTGTTTCTAGTACGGATGGTAAGTCTTGGTCCCTACAGAGCAATACACCTTTGAAAAGCTGAACATTCTTATTCACCTTTTGGCCACATAGAAACAATTTAATTATTAGAAGAACAGAAAAATGATTAAAGCAGTGGATAAGAGGAAAGTTTGAATGTGAGAAGGAAAGAAAAGGCACCAATGATAACCTTGTTTTCCTTTCTCCATGTCAGAATGGCAAAGTCTATGTATCCATTGTGAACAGCTGCACTTACATTTGTGTTTGCTGTAAAACAAAACTAGGGGAAACTGTTTTGTCATTGCCATTTCTGTTCTTTTCAGCAAACAACAAAAAAGCCAAACAAAACCAACCGCACAACCAAATGAGAAAACCCCCAGAATCCCAGCAAGCAGTCTCTAAAGCTCTAGTACTAAGAAGTACATTAGAAAGCTGGGAGAATCCAAATTTAAATGCTTCATCTTCAGTACTTATTGGAGAGAATTTTTACCATAGCTGCATACAGCATGAAAACTTGTAACAGGGTAGGAGGATGAGATTTGGAGAACCTGGAGCTGGAACTTAAGGCAATATTCAGGCGGTGATTATGCAATTGTTGCATAACATGGAGAGTGCTTGCATGAATAATCCTATTAACATTAGAGTTTCACAATCAGGCAAATGAACATGGCACTGTTCAAAATCATCTGTATTTAATGGTGGAAAAATCAGCAAAATCACCATTAGTAAAACAATGATCTCATTAAATATATTCTTTCTCAGTGGGGGATAAGAGTGGAAGAACATCAGAGGAAAGAATAGAGGAAAACATTTTCTCAGCTTAGATATAGTAGTAAGGGTTTGTTTCAATGGTTTCCTTTGAGAAAGAGAAATGATGGGGAAAAGGTATAGATGACTGTCATGGGCTGTTGGTAATTTATTTGTTGTGGCTGAGAAGAGCTGTGAGCACTGGGATTGACGAAAGGAAAGGAAAAACAATTAGACTAATCACCCAAATAATTTGCAAAGTTCTGTTTGTATCTAGAAAGTGCCAGAGCCAGCACAGGTGGAAGGATTCATCCCAAACATCTGACAATGGTTTATACTAATGAAGTATAAACTGGAGCAGCAGGTGCAGCTGCCTCTGCCTCCCAAGTTATAAGGCCTCCATGACTAAAAAAAATCATCTATTCCCTGGCTCTCACAGTCACCATCGGGTGGGGAGCCCAGGCTGCTGTGGGAGCTGCTCCTTCACCTGCTGAAGGTGAGGGCCAAGAGCTTCCTCTGTGAGCTAGTGTGCAGCGGCAGCAGCATGCATGAGTGAACTGTAGCATCTCTGCCAAGGCTGGAAAAGCTGCAGCACCTCTCTGAGCTGTTTTTGTGCTCCCAGTGCGAGAACACACACGTTGAGCCTGTGTTCATGCCAAAGGTGATCCCGGGCAAGGCTTGGGCTGCGAGTGGGTGGGAGTTGTGTTCCCTCTGCGAGATTCACATGCCACCTCCTGCAACTTTGCCAGCTACAAAGCAGCCACTCATTTCTAAAGAACCTCTGCACAAACACACAGGCAGCAGCAGCAGCAAGGCTGGTGCCAGCAGTGCTTGGAAAACAAGTCATATATCTGATATATGAAGTTTGAGCTACATGCCAAAGCAGAAGTAAACCTCTGATAGGCTGCCTTCCTCCTCCCCTCCCAGAAGTTTTAAGGCTACAGAAAATCAGTGGGTCTATAAAGATGCATCTCCAGGCACCAGGAATAAGGCAGTGACAGCTGAAATTTAACCTGTGTTAATGTTGCCAGAAAGAATTTGACTATTTAGGTGCTTATAGCTAAAGAATTTATATAGTCATCTATGCAAAAAGACTGAGAAAATGTATAGCTGCTTGGGGAAAGTAATCTGCTTTTATCTCATGCCACGGTATTTGAAAAAGCAAATCCAGTGCCCTAAACACCAATTGCTGCAGAAAACTGGAGCCTTTCAAAGCTAGTTTGCTTCTAGCTGGATTTATTCATCAGCTTTATAAGTCTTTTGACATGACAAAACTTATGACCGTTTTCAGACCAAATAGAACTGATATTAGGAAGAAAAATAATATTTTTAATGTTGTTCCTAAGTGACAAGCCACAGTTGGTCTGGAAGATAACTGTGAGGCAACCTTCCCTATTCCAGTTTCTCTTATCCTGTGTAGAGCAGTCATCTAGTAGTCTTCCATGGTTTGTTGCATTCTTGGATATATTTAATAGATTTGGATGTGGTAATAGTCTTGAAGTTTTATTTCTATGGGAAGATACATCTAGAGAATGTATGGAAGTCACATTTTTTTTCTTCTTTGTTAGCCATTGCTCTTTCTTAGTGCTTTTTAGAGTGCAAATGGAGTTCTCAATATGTTCTAGGAAATAAATTTGAAAGATCTACCAACAGCATATCCCTTTGCTCTAAAAAATGTATTTTAGGGTATGGCAGTTTGCATTTTCATTTGGGGGAAGATGACAGACAATTGGTAAGAACAGGCAAACAGGCAAATCTCTACTACCAGTGCAGCTGCATTCATTTAAATCAACTGAGGATCTGATTCACTGTATGACAAAATGTCTCAACTAATATAATTAGCCAAAGCTGCAACCAAAGGCCAGCAGGGATGTGGATTGTTGCAACAATGTAAAAAAAAAAAAAAAACAAACAACAAACAAAAAGCAAAGCTGAAATTTTCCAATATATATCCATAAGTTCGGCTACATCTACTATTCCAGTTTTTTGTATTTATTGATGTGATAAGTGGGGTACTGTGCCAGGATGAGAAGAGGCAGCTGAGTGGGAGAGTTTGCCTCATAATTATTAAAATTACTTTTTCCTCTGCCTCCATTCAAGTAACAGGCATGTAAATGTAGACCTGTGACTGCTGCATGAGCAGCAGAGAGCTGCTATCAGGACTTACATTATCCATTTTCTTATTCACTCTTTGTAAGGCTGTATGTTTGGCTCACCTTAGGCAAATTGCTGTCTTCCTCTGTGCTTCAGCGCTCTCATTCCCGGACCTGTCTGGCTAGATTTTTAAGGCAGAGCTTGCTCTCACTCTGTGCTTGTCATCATGCCTCCTGCAATGAACTAGCCCTCACATAGTGGATGCTTTTTGCCCTCTCCTCTCCAGCAGCACCAATTAGAACGAAAGCAGTAATCACCAGGAATAAATACATACCAGTATAACCCAAATCCCCTAACTATTAACAAGTACAAACTTGACAATGACACGAATTTCCAGTCTAGCCTTTGACTCAGTTTATTAAAGTGGACTTCTGCCTCTTATGGTCAACCTCTTCCAGGCTATCACAGTATCCAAGTGCTTCATCTTTTCTTTTGGCTGCTGGTTTAAGCGGGAAGGAAGGAGACAAGAGCATGAAATGCTTTATCACTGCCATTGTAAACAGTTTGTGTATTTGCTGTGGTAATGTGTTTCTATGAGGGGTCAGACTGTAATACCTTGTACCTTGTCAGCAAAAACGTGCTTCAGTGCATCCTGTTCTTGCTAACAGAGTTCTTTTTTCACATCTAGTTCCGAATAGGAGAGAGTACAGTTCTTTCAGTTCTCAGCAGTATGGTGGGTATAAAGAGAAAGCTTCTCACGGTAATATTTATCCATTAAATACAAACCACCAAACAAAACAATGCATTGCATCTCGTTTTTTAGCAAACCCTCACCAAAACCTGTCAAAGATCATATTACAATGATGCCATAAGGGACAGGTAAATACATGAATCGCTAATGACTGGTTTTTATCAATGTTATTCATTCCTGTGCTAGCAACGGAAAGAAGCTAGGTAATAGGAGAGACTGCAGAATGGAGGAGAGTAAAAGCAAAACCCCCAGTGCCACAAGACAGTAGAAAGCTCCTTCCACTGGAGCTCAGGTCTTTCTTCCTCCAGGGTCCAGGTTTGCTTCTTCCAGGGTTAAGATTTCCTGATAATGGGTAAAAATCCATGGCTAATGATGATTACGGTACACAGGAAAAGCTACCATCCTTAGTGGAACTTCAGTAACAAGGAGACTGAAAAGAAAAATATTAAAGCTACAAATTTCAAGAGGAGAAGTGTGTATCTTGAAATACCATCTTAAAAGTTTCCTGTTTGGAGCAAATTTCTGCCCTAGGAATTCTTGTTGTGGTGCCTGAGAGGAATGTAGAAGACTGCAATATTGGTCTCAAATTTTCTATTCCTATAATTTCTCAGTTTAGTTACTCTCATATTATTTTTTTTCAAGATACCTTAATTCTTTAATGCCTGGGCATTTTATGAAGTACAGTTTGTGAGCTTCACCTCAGTTTCATGTTTATCCTTTTTCAGGATGGTTAATGATTTGTCACCTATCACACAGTTTAGGTAAGAATATGAATGGCTAATAGATCTGCAAAAGGTCAAAAGATAGTACAAAGGTAGTAAATGGTGGTGTACATTGCTCAAAGCTGGCTCTAGTATATTCACCAGGCTATTACAAAAAAATAAGAGGATCTGAGGCATTGTCCGGAAGTTACGGGATTATTGACAGTAAAGTTTTCAAACTATAATGCTTTAGAACTGTGTGTCTGTTTCCTATTCATTGTATGCTTTCAGCCTGAGCAGAACTGGACCTTCCACATCTAGCTGCCTGAAAACAATTTGAATTTGGTTAGGGATTTGCTAAATTAAACAGTAGCTGTTGTAGTTACTGCTGTCTGCTAGCAACAGTTGTCAGGAAGATTTTCAGATCAGACTTTTAGTTTCATAGTTTTAGTAGCAACTTAGTCCAAGTAAAATTGCCAGAATAAACTGCACTTAACTGATGTGGAAGTACATTAAAGTCTAATAAAATGAATTCTTAATGGCTATGTTGTGTAAAATTTGGATTGCTTCTAATTTAAAAGAAAAAATCAAATACTGTTAATTTTTTCTAGTGTTCCACTCCATTAAAGACATTCATCTTTCCTTCAAACTGTAGATAATGATGCTTAAACACATTCATAACAATAGTTCTGTTCTTTAAGAGCCTGGAAGATAAACTCAAAGTTCTGCATGTGTATGTCAGATTTGCTGGTTTACTCTGAAGTGTTTTTTTAAACAAATACTTCAGTTCCTGTCTTTGTGCCCCCTAAAGCACTCTCTTGGGCATGCATATGTAGTCCAGAATCTAGAAAAACAGGACTTGTTTTCAGTAATGACAAACTAAACCCATGTGCTTTCTACCAAATATCTGGAGACAGATATTGAAGGAAAAAAAGGGTTATGAGCGATTCCACTGTGTATATGGATTCAAAATCAGCTGTCTGTTGGTCTGTCGAGGATTTTATCTCCACCCCTATTAACTGGGATTTGAGAAAAAGCTAAACTTTTATGTTCTTTTGGGATGTCAAAATTTTCTTGAGGTGTTAGCTGACAAAGAGCATCAAAGACAAATGGTAACAAACATGAAAGCTGGCAAACTAAGGGAAAGTTTCCCAAATACACAATTTGGGAAGCTATGTTGCTGCAGTAACTGAGCGTCAGGCTTCAAAGAATAACAGATAAAGCCTCCAGTTGTATCTCTGTGGGATGAAATCCACTGTTGAGAAATTTTGCCATTCCAGACATAATTTTTGGTCCTAAGTCTGAAAATATTTGCAAAGACCAGATATCTTTAGGTGACAATACCTGTCTTGGGGGGGAGGAGGAGGAGGGAGTTAACCTTTTGAAGGAAAAATAATTGTCTTGAGACATTTGTATGCTCTTCTGTGTAAATATCTGCCTTGGAAGTACTAATGGATTTTGTTTTTTCTGTCAATAGATTGAGAACATGATTGAGAAGAGCTACATTGTGATTCAACAGATAACAGGGATTTTGGCTGGATTTGAATTTGGTCTCTCTGAGGGTTGATCACTCCTTCCCTGGTTTAC